CATAACCTGACACCATATCATCACATCCCCTTCCTTGGAATCCTAGCCAACACAGAGTTTGGGCAGAGTCTCCCTTGTACCAAAGCACTCCCAAACGCCCAACCAGTTGACTATTCCAAAGTCCACCCCCATCAATTGGAACTTAATGTATGACCAATTCCATCATTTAAGTAAGAGGGCTCAAGATCTGAAGGCTTGGCAGAGTTATATTTAAATTTTTGAAAATTTTGGAAGACGTACTGGTACCTCTTACACGTGGGTACCTGAGCCTTCTGTCTACCAGGCTCCTTCCATTTGTCAAGTACCGGTATTTAATCAATTAGGTACCGGTACCTAAGCCCACTATTTGTTAGGTACCAGTGCCTATATATCATGGTACTAGTACCTAAGCCCACTGTCCATCGAGGTATTAGTACCTTAAATCTTGGTACCGGTAACTGAGCCCACGGGAATCCAGGCACTGGTACCCACAAGACTAGGTACCGGTACTTGAGTCCACTGTCCATCGACGGATGGGTACCTTAAGTCTTGGCATCGGTACTTGAGCCCACGGGAATTTAGGTACTAGGACCACAAAACTAGGTACTGGTACCTGGGTTATCCAACAGTGTGGAACTGGTACTTAATCAATTAGGTTCCCGTACCTAGGCCCAAATTTTCTCCAATTCTTTCCAATTTTCAACCTTTAACCATCTAATTTCATTCCATATTCATGCATACATTCATATGCACAAATTTTAGTCCGTAAGAGTTCATTACATGACCCTTTGTACAATTTCACAAGTTCAATTCAAATTACAAATTTGATTACAAAAATGTAATTTAAAAGCCACATTCCGGCTTCTTCTCAACAAGAGCCCAAGTGACGGTTATCCATCGGCATTTATCTCGCACCTGAAATGTTGTTCTCATAAGGGTGAGTCATCCTCAATAGGGTATCTTCTAAAGAGGCTACACCCCAACCCAAATGCATATGAAATGTTCACATATTATTCAACAATAAATCAACATTCATTCAAGAATATACAATTCATAACAGATTTCACAGTGTCATATCATGTCATAAGATGATACTCACACATGCAATGCAACCCAAACCCTCCACCGGCTCTCATACCACATGCAATGTCATGCATATGCATCCAGCATTTCAAGCCCCTGTCATTCATGTTGAGCATCTAATGACAAATTTACAAAATCCCAAGTCTTTATTGGGGGGTATTTATGGACTTCCACCCATGGGTACCCAACCGACACAATACCTATGGACTTCCACTAATGGCTCCGCGTATACCGACACACTTTATGAGCTCTTATATCAACAGAAGTGTGTATCCAAAATTACCGGGTCTTGCACCCGAGGGAGAATCTAACCTTTTTTGCTAACCCTGACCCTTGTTCTCAATGCAACCCCTACGACTCAGTCAAACCTAGGTCTAACTTTTCCAAGCCCATATATCAACCAACAATAATAGTGTTTGATCAAATCATGCACACACACTCACACTAATGTCACACGCCCACGAATGCAATATTTTTCGTGCATATGCAATGTAATGTACTATTGCAACTACCAAAGCATGTTCAACATATCATGAGCTTATTATGAACATATTCAATCTCAATCAGCATTTCTCAATTGTCAACTATGTCATAAACATATAATCACAATTCACCACATCACTAAAGCACATTGTAACACCTTCAATGCATTTAACACAATTAATCTACATATGCATTTTATTCAACACCATTAAAGCATAATGTAAACACATAGCATGCCCAATTTAACATATTCCATCATGAAATTACAAACAAGCAATTTCAACAAACTCAATTCATACTAGAATTGATTTTATACATTCTTGTATCATTTCTCATACTCTAGCTACACTAGGAGTGTATTTAGACAAGAGATTACATCTCTAATCATACTACCCATTTCATATACAACCCTAAGTTAAAAATAAACCTAGTTACAAAAAAATCCAACCTCTTGAAGTATAATACAATGTATGAGAAGCTTTAAAATACCTAAATCAAGCCTCCAAGCTTGGCTCCCAAAAATCTCGTTCTTGAGACTTTGGTGAAACTCGCAATATTTGGTACGTACTTTTAGCTCTCGTCACATAGAACTCTTTTTGTTCTTAACCCGAAGGAATCCGAAGGACGGATCGCCCTATACCGGAAGGAGAAAGGGGGAGATGAGGGGGGGAGTTTCTCTCTCTCTTCTTTCTCTCACTCTCTGTTTTGAAAATCAGCAGAGAAAATGGGAAAGAAAATCTAATTTTCTTCCCCTTTTATACTTTCCATTTACTTGGCCCACATTAAACCATGTGTGCATCTTTTGTTTGGTCTCATTTAATCCCGAATCAATTAATTTCGTTCCGTTTTAAGTTCAATATATTCTATTTGAACTAACATCAAATTATTTTCCATGTTCCACAATTAAAACCCAATTATGTTTATTTTAGTCGTACCATGCCTGATTGAATAATAAAAAGTGAAAAATTTGACTGTCACGAAATTCAACAAAAATCAACTCGATAACTATATTTCGCTAGAAGAATCTAATGGTGAGGTTAATTTCATCATTCGAGTTCTAAAAAAATTCAAGTTTTCAGCCCGTACTGTAACGATTAATTATCATTTTGCCCCTTTCACATGAAAAGTTTAAATTTTCTCGTGTTTTATATATAAGCTTTATTTGACCAAAGGAATCAATGAAACCATAATTCCAAAATCTAGAACAATCATGATTTTTACATATCAATTATGCAGAGTTAAAAAAACATCATAACATCATAATCAACACACCTGGAGCCATAATTGCAAACCTTGAATTACTTAGTCAAGATATTCTTACGATACACAACTCGATTGGACATGTGTATATTTATAGGTAGAAATAGAACCAGTTTTCTTTTTCAATATAAACTTCACTTTCCATCCAAATAAGATATAAGGAAACCACTTCTTCTCATTGATCAATCAAAAATTATTAGTTATCCGGTTAGTTTAGGATTGGTAACCTTATTATTATTTGACCCAACTTAATTATTCGATAATTATCAATAAAATCATATGGATCGAATTATGTGGCCACATTAATTCTTCCGGAGGGCAATTATCAGGCTTCCACTAATGCTGCACCACTATGCAATTGGTAATATTTTCGTTCAAATCCTGGAAGCGAGAAAATTTTGTAGACACTAGTAAGTTTGAGAGTTTTCTTATGAAGAAAAATGAAAGATATAGTGCCATTTTTATGGATTTTCTGGATGGTATTTTCATTAATCAAATTGTCAAAAAATAATACGAATAAAACATTAAATTTGACGGATGGATTACTCTGATTTATAAACTCTTTTCTTTTCTTTGGAAAAAGAAAGAGCTTTGAATTACGCCGATGGTGAGGCGACTAATTGGGGCGGCCTTAGAACTACAACCTATGTCCAATACCGTGCACTTTTCCTCTTTTTTTTTTTTTTCTTTTCAAAAAAGATAAAAAGGAAATTTAAAAACCACTCCTCCTATATAAACTTGTTTTGACTTAAGTCCGCTAAGAAAACTTAATTGTTATAAAATTTATTTTTTGTCAATTTTATCAGACTATCCATTCCTTTTAGAAGTGAAATAAAATTAAAAATTAAAAACTCTCATATTTTAGGAGTTTGACTAACATTACTATATCTCTCTCATAGTAACATTAAAAATAAAAAATAGTAACATTCAAATATAAAAAAAAAAATTATCATTTAAACACAAAAAAAAATAGTAATATTTAAATATAAAAAATAGTAACATTCAATATTAATATTTAAAATAAATAACAATAGTAACATGCTTAACAAAAACAATAACATGCTTAATAAAAACATTAACATGCTCAACAAAAACAATAGTAATATGGAACATTAAACAAAATTAAAAATAAAAATAGTAACATTCAAAATCATAACTAGAGGAAGAGACCTCCAATTTTTCAGTATCCAAAAAAGTAACACTAAAAAAATAATATGTTCAAAAAAAAAAGCAACACGAAAAAAAAAAAATAATAACATGATCAACAAAAAATGTAATAACATGAAATATTGAAAAAATTTGGAGATTAATTATCAAAAAAATAAAAATAAAATTGTGAAGTAAACTAATAACACAGACAAATTTTTCAACCTTTTTTTTTTCTGAAAACCAACAACATAGAAGTTCATAATGACCAGAACACAATAGAAGATATGATAATTGTTGATAATATTCCAAATTCTACTAATTTTGATGCTATGGAGGAAGAAATGATAACTAAGGAGACAAATTTATTGTACTGAAATGATGATCTTTTTCTAACAAGAGAAAGAGAGAGACAGAGAGAATATAAATTTCAATTTCAATTTCAATTTAAGAGTAAATTAAAGGATAATAATCTCTAATTTAAGAAATTAATTTAAAACTACTTTCAAAATCTTTAAAATTTCTATAATCGAATAAAACAGCAATGTTAAGAGTATTTTTAGACTTTAAAAAAATAATGTACTTAAGTACTTATTTTTTTATTTTATTTTTTTATCCAACCGACCTACTGAAAACATAAGTAGAATAAATCCCAAATTTTTTGATTATATGAATCTTTAGTATTGGTTACATGTACAAAACAACTTAAATTACACGCTTTTTGTAAATTACATGAATACAAAAAACAGAAAAAGTAATTCCCAACTTATACATTTCTAGCCATGTAAGAATTTTAAGTAGGCACCATTAGTTTTTCAGTTGAGAAATGCTAGTTGTACTTCAAAAGTTGACATGATTTACTAACTTGATGAATCACAATCATAGAATAGGTCAAGTGTCAAGAGAAATGCCAAGATCCATGGCTAAATTTATGTTAATATTGGATCAAGTAAATTTTTCAAATCCATGTAGCATTATTTCTTTCGGTTTACTTTTTTTTAGATGGGCAAAATACAATATGATTGATTAAAATAACCTCTTTCAGAAAATTATGCAATAGACACCGATTCCAACAGCGCATCAAGATACTCTTTGAGCTTCACTATTGTAAGTGCACCTTCCGTCCTGCTATTTGGAACTTCCAGCCCATTTTGGAAGAGAATCAAAGCTGGCAAACCATAAACCTTGTATTCCTCGATCAATCGAGGATTCGAGTCATGATCAATTTTTACAACCAGTAACTTTTCTCTGTATTCCTGATAATCAATAAATGATAGCAATTTAGGAAAGAAAATAAATCATAGAAAGAGACTGCAAAGCCATAAATAGTTAAAACATCAAACGTATGCATAGTTGCATACAGATCCAGTGACGGAAACATCGAACTTCCAGTGGGATCCTTTTCATAGATTTATCGAGATACCTTCTTACGAATTTTATTGTATATTATATGTTAGGGCTAATTACACAAAACCATCTTGAAACTTAAGAGTTAGTGGCACATAATCACCATCAACTATTACACGTTTTACTTAACTCCCTCTTACTCGTAAATAAAATGCAAATTGCAACATAGGTAACTAGTTTTGTAAACAGACTAAAATACCCTCAATTTTTGTTCTAATTTTCTTTGTGATACCATCCATTGCAAAATTTTATACACGCATCAAGTCAACAAGGAATCTGGTCCCCCCCCCCCCCAAAAAAAAAAAAAAGGTCTAAGAAAAACTTTTTTGCAGCCAACCTCAAACCACCATTGCCAAGTGCAACCATAGCCATGCCCCCACCACTATCAGTTCCACCTCTCAAAAGTTCCCCCATCACTGCCAACTCCACCATCAAAAAACCACAAAACACAAGTACCCCACTACCGCTAGCTCCAACACCACAAATCAACCGAACACCAAGACAGCGAATGAGACAACATCTAAGCCTCGCTTAGTCGTGAGTAATCACCGGGCGGACCGATTTGGTAAAGACACACAGGTTCCAAAGGAACAAGCCGTGAGGGTAGGTTCGTGGCAATCATCATACAAAAACGAACCAACTACAACTTCATTCGGTGGAACCACTTGCGCTTATTGCGGGAAATCCAGGAAGCTACCTAAATGGGGATCCCACGCGTGCACGGGTGGTTGATAAACACGTATTATTGGGATGGGGCAACAGGCAATGGATACCGTTCTCCCACCCGAGCTTGCAGTTGGTTGGCCAAATCCACTTATAACCCCCCCTATCAAGTGATTGAGTTGAAGCTTTGGGCATAGAGCGGAGCGAGCTTGGGGAGAGGAGTAGAGTCCAACAACATTGAGCCCCAAAATAGAGTTTCTATTCAAATCAGGCATAGAGTTTCTAAGTGAAGGCAAGCGCAACTCTATTTCATATCCTACTTGTCAGCAAGGCAGGTCCGCTATAAAGCCTACTAGCCAGAAAGTCCTCAAGAACAAGAAAGCCAACCAAAAGACTATTTCATAACCGACTCTTACTGTCGAATCGAGGGGGCTTGGCTTGTACCAGGCTCTAAAAGAGTTTTCTTCAAGCGAGCAGTCTTTCCTCTCTCCAATTACAGTATGCCACATCACTCGCAACCACATCCCACCCCCAAAAAGTCTCAAACTACCTCTAGCTTCACCACCATAAAGCCACCAAACACAAAGAGATCGCCACCACTGAACACCAAAAAAACCCTTACCAGTACCACTACACACCCAATCAACCCCCCCCTTCTCTCACCCACTAAAACCTAAGCCAACCTCCTCCATCGACAACTCTACCATACAAAATTTCATAGCACCAGTTATCCTCCACCCGAATTATAGAGAAACTGATGAGAGAAAGAGACATTGCCCTAGCGCCACAATTGAAGTAGCAACAACAAGCACGTCCCCTCCACCATAGCCTTGGCGCCACAGAGTGCCCATCTATTGCAGATCCACCACCAAATTTCAGAGCAATATTGCCCTCCTATCCAAATTGCATAAACACCAGAGTGTGTGAGAGAGAGGAAGAGAAACAAGTAGAGAAGAGAGAAGGGGGGGGGGGGCTAGGGCTTTGGCAGAAATTTGAGTGTTCAAACCCTACTCTTGCATTCGGATGCATCCCCAACTTTTGAATTCTAGAGAATCGAGACCTTCCAGACACCTTTTTTTACCGTTAGGACGTGCTCTTCGATTAGTCAAAATGTCAAACTCGTAGCGATGTAACCCTTGGGAATACGTAAAATCTTTAAAGTACTATCCGGACACATGAACATTGTTTGGACACTTCTATTCGCCTATAAAAAGATGGGATCGTCTTCCCCAGCCTTCCTGCACTACTTTAAAACCCTAAAACCACTGAAATTCCTCTCCTTTTTCCTATAAACTCTTTTCAAACCTCACCAAATCTCTTCCGAACTCCACCAAAACACCAAATCTACTATCTAAATCCCCTGATCTACTCCCTAAAACCTCTTTGTGAGAAGATTGTGTCAAATTTTTTAACACTTTCCATTCCCTTTCCAACCCCCAAATTTTCACAATGTTACCAAAGAAAACGAACACCTAGAGGGGTAGAGTCAAGTGTTTAGGATGCCCAAGGAAGTCAGGGAGCCCAAGGAGGACAAGGTGTTTAAGAACTAGGGGTCTTTGTGGATGAAAATGGCTTCAGGCATTCTTTTGATAGTCTCTAATTCCCCAACATTGAGAAAGATATAAAAGAAACTCTACTCTTTACTAATAGGCCCATTGTGATGGAGAGAGTAGTACTTTTGAATGATTTAAGATTTTTGGATTTGGGGATATTATTAGGAATGGAGTTGGGTTGAGTTTATGGAAAGTTCTAAAAGAGTGCAATTCTACTGATTAAGGAGTTTTATTGCAATGTTGAGAAAATAGATTCCAAAAGGTTTTGTACCTTTGTGAGGGGAAAAAGGTTTATTGTGGATTCGGCTCTTATACTTAAGGTGGCCAAGATCAATGTGGAGCCTAGGCCACAATTTACCCTAACCATTGTCAAGGACCTGTAGATGGTAGCAAGGGAATTGACTGGCAATCCAAATTTTGTGTGGCTACAAAATGACAAGATGCTTATGCAAGGCCTAGTGACTAGCAAGTATAAAACCTTGAATTGGATTTCAGTGGCCAACTTGCTGCAATTGAGCAGGAAGAACCATGTATTCCTTGAGAGAGCCAAGTTGTTGTATGCGTTAGGTACCAACCAAACCATTTGTCTGTCCACCATGATTATGTCGGATATGCAAAAAGCTTTGAAGGAGACTACCAATGATGCATCATTACCATTTGGGTACTTTGTCACTCGAATCTGTATGGACAAGGGGATTTTGGCTGAGAATGGGATGTTAAAATAAAAACGTCCAAAGGTTTTGGACAATACAACATTGTTGAAGAGTAGGAATGCCATGGGAAGGGCTATTGAGCCTAAGGATCATATGTAGGAAGAAGTTGAGGAAGAAGATGGAGAAGGTGGTGCTTTGATGAGAGATCCAATAGATGATTGCATTGACATGGACTTTCTATTCACATCATCGAGGAACAAAAGTTGATTAAAGGGGAACTCACTAAACATGGAAACATCCTGCATAATCTTCGCCTTAGACCTCAATATCATCTTAGTGCTTCTTCTTAGAGTCTGCATGTTGTGAGCTACTTCCCTTGATTTCGAAAACCTTCTTGTGATTTCAATTTGTCTAGTTAGGATCATAGTTGTCAAATCGCATATTGGAAGGTACATTGTTTTTCAAAAATAGTGTATCGTATCATATTGTGTATCGTGTATTATAAGATATGCGCAATTTTAATTTTTTAATAATTATCAATAATATATATCTTTGTAAAAAAGTCATAGACTCATAATAATATAGCATTTCATTAATACTTTACAAAGTATTCAAGTTTCTAACATAATTCAGTAATATCAAAATGCAAAGATTTCTAATTCAAATTTCTAACATCACCTACTTGAACAACCTTAATATTAATTAGGAATTTTGAATTCAATTGAACAACATTAACAATACACTTCATTTTTTTCTTAAACCATAACCACTGAACGACGTTGTTTCACTGGCTAGTAATTTAAAATTAAGTCCTAAAGTAAAACGATGTCATTTCAACTCTAAAAAAAAAAAAAAATCATCACGTATTATATCGTATATCGTACGATACGGTACAAAAACGATACAAAGATGTGATATATATCGTTTTTCAGGTATATTGTGACATATCGTATGATACGTATCGTGTATCGTATGATATTAATAACTATGGTTAAAATCAAGTCAGTCAAAGCCCATAGTCGTAAATAGTTTAGTTCGGGCTTGGCTTAATGGTTACTTATTTTTATTTTTATTAGAGTCTTGTAATTGAGCCCATTTTGCTTATTTCTATATATATTATAGGTTTGTTATATTTAGTTTTGCATGTTAATTTATTGATTTCTTTGAATTATGTTCATGGACTTGGTTGATATTAAGTTAGGAAATATGGGATTGAAACTTGAATTTGTGAATATTTTAGCCAGTTATAGAACCTTAGTCCATACTTCAGTATCAATTCTTTCCTAATAGGCCCATTGTGATGGAGAGGGCAGTACTTTTGAATGATTTTAAGATGTTTGGAGTTGGAGATATTATTAGGAATAAGGGTTGGGTTGCATTTATTAAAAGTTCTGGAAAGGGTGCAACTCCACTAATTTGGGAGTTTTATTGCAATGCTGAGAGAATAAATTCCAAAAGGTTTCGTACCTTTGTGAGGAGAGAAAAGTTTATTGTGGATTCGGCTCTTATATTTAAGATAGCCAAGATAAATGTGGTGCCTAGGCCACAGTTTACCCTGCCCACGATTATGGAACTGCAGATGTTGGCAAGGTAATTGACTAGCAATCCAAATTTTGCGTGGCTACAAAGAGACAAAGATGCTTAAGCAAGGCCAATTGACTGCCAAATATAAAATCTTGAATTGGATTTCATTAACCAACTTGCTGCCATTGAGTAGGAAGAACCATGTATTCCTTGAGAAAGCCAAGTTATTGTATGCCTTAGGTACCAACCAAACTGTTTGTCTATCCACCATGATTATGTAGAAGATGCAGACAGCTTCGAAGGAGACTACCAAGAATGCATCGTTACCGTTCGGATACTTGGTCACTCAAATTTTTATGGAGAAGGGGGTTGTGGCTGAGAATGGGATGTTGAAAGAAAAACGTCCAAAGGTTTTGGACAATACCGCCTAGTTGAAGAGTAGGAGTGCCATGGGAAGGACTACTGAGCCTGGGACGATGTGTAGGAAGAAGTTGAGGAGGAAGGTTTAGAAGGCGGTGCATTGATAAGAGATCCAGTGGATGATCACACTGACAGGGACCTTATGCATCACATCATAGAGGAGCAAAAGTGGATTAAAGGGGAACTCACTGAGCATGGAAACATCCTACGTAATCTTTGCCTCGAAACTCAAGACCCCGACCCTTTTTCTTAGAGTCTGCATGTTGTGAGCTATGTCTCTTGGTTTCAAAAACCTTCTTGTGATTTCAATTTATCTAATTAGGATCAAATCAGTCAAAGCCCACAGTTGTAGCTAGTTGAGTCTGGGCTTGTCTTATTAATTACTTTTTTTTTTATTAGAGTCATGTAAATGGAGCCAATTTTAATTATTTCTATATATAGAATGGCGGTACAATTAGTTTTGCATGTTAATTTATTGATTTCTTTGAATTATGTTGATATTGAGTTAGGAAATATGGGATTAAAAATTGAATTCGGGAATATTTTAGCCTGCTATAGAACCTTAGTATATACTTCAGTATGATAAGTTGCATTCCCAATTAAATTCATATTTGAGTATACATGTGATTATGCTTGAATTAGATGTTGGAAAATAAACCTAACATTAAATTAGGTTCTGAGTACACATGGATTGAAATGTCTTGTTCTTGACTCTTATGTTGTATGCTCTAGCAGCCTTAGCTTCTGCACCTCAAGGTAGTGTTTGGTAATCAGGAATTTTTGTTTTTTTCTGTTTTTGTTTTCAATTTTTATTAAAATATAAAAAATAAAAATACATTTGGAGTGTGTTTTAATTTTTTTTTTAGGGTACTATGTTTTAAAAACAAGGCCCAAAAATACAAACATAAAAAAAGGTGTTTTTATAAACACCCAAAAACGAAAACGCGCGAGCTCAAAAGAGACCCCTTTTAATGAGATCCATCATTCAAATCCACTTACCAACAAAATGTAGGATATTTTATGCTAACTATAAAAAACCCATTTACTCCTCTTTTTTCATCACTTTTCCTCCTCATCTCTCTCTCTCTCTCTCTCTCTCTCTCTCTCTCTCAATCTATCTGAAAACCTAATACTCGTCTCTCTCTCTCTCTCTCTGTGAAATCGAAGTGTCCCATGAAGACGAAGGCAGTACCGAAGCTTTCCCACGAAGACGAAATCGAGGCTTCTCATCATAGATCTCTTTCTCTCATCTCAATCGGTGGTTATGTGATGGGTTTCCTCATCTTAGATCTCTCTCTCTCATGCTCAGTCGGTGGTTAGATGTTGAATTTTAGGAGTGCTAGTGGTGGGTTTTCGAGCCTTGGGGGGTGAGTTTTTAGTGGTGATTTTGGTGAGTTTTCCATGGTTGGGGGGGTGAATTTTTAATGGGGTTGGTTATGACTTTTCGGTAATTTTGTTGGTGTATTTTTAGGGGTTTTGGTGGTGGGTTTCCAGAGGTGTTGTTGGTGGGTTTGGTGGTGGCTAAACGGGCGGTGGTGGTGGGTTTTTGGTGATTTTGGTGGTGTGTTTTCAGTTGTTTTGGTGATAGTTTTCCAGGGGTGTTGGTGGTGGGTAAATGGGTGGGTTGGGTGATGTTGGTGGTGGGTTTGGTGGTGGCTAAACAAGGGTGTTGGTGGTGGCTAAACATGGGTGCTGGTGATAGCTAAGCAGGGGTGTTGGTGGTGGTTTCTTCGTGAGAATAATC